TTCTGTTATATGAATGTGCCATAATTTATTTAACCAGTTCTCTATTGTTGGACTTAAACGAATTTAAAAAATACTTTCTCAGATTCTTCCTTTTCTTTCTATCACCACCACCCAATTAGTCCTGGTTGCTTATTGAGTCACTCTTGTATGATCCCTGCAGACTTCTAAGTAATGTCCTTCCCAGGGTTTCCACCTCCACCCAACATCCTCATGGCTGTCTGAAGGATGTTCTTAAGTCACTGACTGCTTTCCTCATGTCCTCTGGCAGCCCAAGAATGGCTCTATCTTGACTTTGCAATTGGTCCAAACACCTCAGCGTTTTTGTTTTTTTTTAAGATTTTCCCAAATCAGTTTCTATTTATCTTTGTCCACTTCCTTCCTAGTCTGGGGAGCCAGCCAAGTCTACTTGTCATCTCAGCACATACCATATTCATTTCTTTCTGGACCTAGCTCATGCCACTGGTCCTGTTGGGAATTTCTCTTCTCATCCCACTGAATGTTTCCAGTCTCTTCATCCGGAAGGGCCAGCTCACGTCTCACGAGCATCATAAAGCCCTCTGTGGTTACTCTTGCCTGTACGGATTTTATTTTGCCTTTCTTTGAGCTTCTGTTTCACTGAGATGGGACCACACAGTTTATGAAGCAGTAAGAAAACAAGTAAGCCTGTGTCCCTCCCTGGCTAGACTTAGAAGGTAGGGACCTTGTCGTAAATGTCCCAGTCACACTGGCCATCTGACCATTCTTGGAACACACTCATTTCTTTCCCACTTCAGTGCTTTGCCCTTGCCATCCCTCTGCCTGGAATGCCCTTCCCCCATCTTGTCACAGCCAGCTCCTTGGCATTCATATCTAGCTTAAATGTTACTTCCTTGGATAGGCCACCCCTCACCCCTATCAGAAGTAACTCCATTGTTTCTATCCCAGCATGCTGCTTGTTTCTTTCAGACTCTTTATCACAAGCTGCTCCCACCTCATTTCTTTACACATTGCTTGCCCATCTTCCCCACTGCACCTAGCTTCCAGGAGAGCCTGTCTTGTTCACTTGTTTGTCCTGGCACCTGCACTGTGCCAGGGTGCTCAATAAGTGTTTGCTGAACGAATTGGTGAGATTGGATGGAAAGGGGAAGGAGAAGGGAGATGTGAGGCGTGCGGCTATCCCTCGGATTTCTGGCTTGGGAAACTGAGCTGATGGCAGGTGATGCTACGAACTGAACTTGGGGGTTCTAGAAGAGCACATGTGGGTGGGGTGGAGGGAGCAGAGGTAATGATTTCCGCTTTGTACCTGTTTGAGTTGTCTCTAAACTATTTAAGTAGAATATCCACAGGTGGTTAAATATATGGGCCTAGAGCTTAGGAGTGATGCTTGGGCACTGTCCAAATGACAATAACAGCATCGTTAGACATGTGATTAACACTTTAATAATAATAGCTGGATTTATTGAGTGCTTACTCTGTGCCAGGCAGTGTGCTGAGTGCTTTACATACATTTACACTTGTAACATGTAATATTTAATACAACTCTAGGACACAAAGGTACGACTGAGGTTTCTAAGGATTGGATAAACTGCCTAAGGCCGCTCAGCTAATCAGTGGGCGAGCTAGGATTTGAACCCAGGTGGTCTGTTTCCAGTGTCCCAGCTCTCCCCCACTGCACCAGTGTGTGGAATAGGCATGTAAGGACACAAGCCCAAGACGAGCCTTTTGCCATTGAGGAGCTTGTTTGCTTGGGGAAATAAAAGGTAACTCATAACTTACTATCTCCACAGGCTTGCGTACTTCCCTGAGCCAAGCCTGTCAAGTTGGCAATTATTTGGTGAAAAGGGCCAGTCAGAGTTGGCCACCTCCTCCTCTAATTACTGAAGACTCAGGCTCCTGTGACCTTCGTGATATAATGATCATTAAGAGGAACTAAGGATGTTGGAAATGCAAAATCCTCTCCACAGATCATCACTTGTTTTGGAAACATGGTTCATAAACCTTCTGGGACTGGAGAAGAGGAAATGGAGAGATCACAGTAAAAGTGAAAGAAGGTAGCAATGTCTAAATCTGTCCAGGAGAGAGCAGAAGGTGTTCAGTCGGACACACAGAGATGCCCAGAGTGAGGACGGCGTGGGATTAGAATATGGGCTGAGAAGAGTACAAGCAGCAGAGAGTGAAGCCACGCCCAGTGCACTCTAGTGGCTCATCTGAATAAATGCTGTTGGGGGTGGACGCTCCCAGTTTCTTATGGGCTCTAGGAGGCAGCACTTTGTGCAGACAGTGACTCTGTGCAGAAGCCAAGTCTCTAATTTTTGAAGGCTGCTGGAATTAGGAGCACCTTAATCTCCTCCTCTGTACTCCATTGGTGAGGGAGGGATTCCCACCCTAGGGTTATGAGGTTGGCTAAACACGTGACACCCAATGCTGGACTAATGAAATTGACAGCAATTTATTAGTCACATATACTCCCAGCTGGGGAGATAAGGACAGCACATGCCTTGCAGGGTCACATGGGGATGGCATTTAGGAACAGAGTGAACATCCAGAAGCAGTGGAAGGCAAGCTTACTTTGTAGTATCAAGAGGGTGAGGTGCTCTGTGGTTCCCATAGGAGGATGTGATTGGCTCTTTTGGATAATTCTGTGGGCTCGTGGCAAACTCAGACCCACTACTTAGGGAGAAGAAGGAACTGCATCTGGTCCATTTGATAAGGAAGATTTTTTTAACTAGGTGACCTTTTCCATGGGAGCAGACTGAGGAGAGGAACTTGTGGTTAAGCCATTCTAGTCCCTCCTGATTTCACCAGATGTCAAGGCAGCATGTGATATTAGACCTCACTTTCAGGCCTTACATCACAGGGTGGAATGCATCAGTAGGCAATGTTGACTGCCCTTCGTCTCTAGATTTGGCACATTGCTGCCCCTGACTCGAAGCTCAACAAGTCCCACCAACTTGGGACAGGAGATATTCTAAAAATCAAGGTACACTAAGGCTTTTCCTTTTTTTTTTTTGCTGCTGATCTTTTTGTCATTTCCTAAGAGGAAGAGGAGGAGAGAAAAGAGAGTCAGTCCATTTTGCTTCATATTTGGGGCAGATGTTTCATGGAATAGGGAAAGACTGAAGAAATTATATCTACCACCACTCCTAGTTCATTTTTCACACAGCGATCAGACTAATCTTTTAAAAATCAAATATACTCTCACCAGGCTCCTACTTAAAACCCTTCAGTGGCTCTCCATTGGTCTTTCTTAGGATAAAGACAAAACTCCTTGTCATTACCTACAAGCTCGATGCAGTCCAGCCCCTGCCTCCCTGTCCAGTCTTGTCTCATGTCTTACTTCCCTTACTATTTATAGAACAGTCATACAGGTATCCTTTAAGTTCTTCAAACCTGCTATACTTTTTCTGCCCCAGGGACTTTGTACGTGTTATTCTCTATGCCCAGAATGCTCTTTCCTCTCCTATTTACCTACTTATCTAGTACTTATCCTTCAAATTTCAGTTGAAGGGCTCCTTCCTCAGGGAGGACTTCTCTGATGTCCGCAAATAGGTCAAATTCCCCTATTATAGGCTCTCAGAGCATCATTTATCTTCTTCATCATGATACTCAACACAAGGTGCAAGTTTACATTTGTTTGAATTATTTAACTAATGTCCATCTCCTCACGTCTCCATGACAGCAGCAACCTTATCTATCATTGGTGACTAGTGAGTGTGTGAAAAAAAACTCCTGTTTTCCTATACTTGACTCACTTCCGACACCCACACCAACCAATTCTCCAAGGCTCCAGACACCAACCGGGTGTGGTACAATTCAGTTATGACATTAACTACCTGCAGTTAGCACAGACTGCACAGGTTAAAGGCTCAGTCCCACAAGATGGTCCCCCACTTCAAATCCCAGTCACAAGTCCCCGGTTGTCACCTGTACTTCTGACAAACGGGCTATAAATTGGGGGTTCCCATAATCCCCTCCTCAGTTTCAATCATTTGCTACAACAGCTCATAGAATTCAGGGAAACCTTTGCTTACATTTACCAGTTTATTATAAAGGATATTATAAAAAATACAGATGAACAGCCGGATGAAGAGGCACAGAGGGCGACGTCTGGATGGGTCCCAAGCACAGAAGCTTCTGTCCCTGTGGAGTTGGGGTGCACCACCCTCCCAGCATGTAGAAGCTCTCTAAACCTCATAGTTTAGAGATTTTTATGGAGGCTTCATTGTGTAGGCCCATAATCAATTATTAACTCAATTTCCAACCTCTTCCCATTCTAGAGGATGAGGGAGTGGGGCCAAAAGTTCCAAGCTTCTAATCATGGGTTGATCTTTCTGGGGACCAGCCCCCATCCTGAAGTTGTCCAGGAGCCCACCAAGAGTCGCCTCATTAGAACACAAGACATTCATATCACCCAGGAAATTCCAAAGGATTTAGGAGCTCTGTGTCAGGAACCAGGGGCGGAGACAAAATAGGTATTTTATTATGTCGTAGTGCCTCAATGAATATGTTGAATGAATGTGTCAATGAAGGAGCTAACTGTGATTTGGGGATCTTCTGAGAAAAGAATCTAAAAGGAACACTCAATAATCATGAATTATACATTATTTTTTATTATCAAAGTAGTCAGGTTAAGACATGTACATTACCAAGCTAGAATTAGGAAAAGTTTAAAAAATGGTTCCCTCTAAAGAGAGAAATGCAAGTCCATTACCAATTCTACATGAAATCAGCCAGTGATACAAGAAAGCAGATCTCTGATACAGAGATGAAGTAGTGAATACTGTCCAATTACCATGATAGAAAAATGGATGTAAGTACGAGAAAACAGATCCTACAAAATGTGACTCTCCTTGGGATGCCTTTGGCAATGACATTATTTTATGCAGTAGACTAAAAATAAGAATACAAATATGATGCATGTTATTGTAGGAAGTGTCAGACATTTTGCACAGAGTTGACATAACACATCACTCTCTCACCCTCTTACCCAAAGCATCTGTGGGGAAGGTGAAGGAAAACAGTAGGTGGATCCAGTGGTATTTGTCATGCTAAATTCTATCTGGGGCCTCTACAAGGTGATAGAAACATGCTAGGAATAAGGCACCCAAAATAAGGTATAAAGGTTCAGGCCATCAAATGGAAATCTGTAGCAGTTACATAGAATTCTAGGAGTAAAAAATTTCATTGCTGAAGAAGTCATATATAATCCTCTTTTCAAAAATATCTCTGAAAGGTAGTAAAAATGAAAGTTGAATCTGGTCTAAGTAACTTGATTCCTGAGTTTAAAGCCAGATAAAATCCTGGGTCAAGAAAAGATTTTTGTTCACACTATTTTACATTAATACAGTAGAAAGCTGCTGGTTTTAAAAAGTATCAAAATGGTAAATCTTAGAGTATGCATAAAAAACCTCACAGATCCTTCATCAGTCACAGTATCAAATAGTGGTTTCTATTTATTCTTTGAAATAGTCATTGTTTAGAAATAGATGACTAGTCAATTGTAGTGCCAAACCCATGAAAAGGAAATGCTGCAGAGGATCCTAACACCTACGACTATCCATTTTCATCTTCTTAGCAGTTGATGTATAGAAATGGTAAAGGTTTGGGTGGGAGTTGCTTTTTAAGTAGCATCCAGACTGCATCCATTCTAATTTGCTGCAAAGTACAGGATGTTAAAGGCATGAAGGTGGCTTTTTCCAGTTTTTAACAGCAGTAGTTACTTGTAGTCATAGAAACATGATGCAGATTGGAATGTATTGAGTAGCTCGGCAGTTAGATGGGATGATTCCAGGGCTCGTCTGGTGAGTTACCTGATTTGGTCTGCGGCCCTCCTAGAACTGCCAAATAGAAACCTAAGCCCCTGAGGGGGTCCAGGGGTGGTCCAGGCTCCCTAAGAACCTTAGAACCAGGGCCGGTATGGGCTGAGTCTATGTTCCCATGAGTCAGGCTTGCTCTCTGTCCCACTTATTTGTTGCTGTGTAACAAACAACCCAAAACTTAGTGGCTTAAAACAACCATTTTGTTCTGTGGGTTCACTGGGCAGCTCTCACTTGGGGTGTCTGCAGTTGCAGTCATATGTTAGCAAACTCGAATCCTCTGAAGTCTTCTTCTCTCCCATGTCTAGTGACTGGGCTTGGATGGCTTGAAAGCTGGGGGCTGGTTGGGTGTCTCTCCTCTCCATGTGGCTCTTTGGGCTTCCTCACAGCAGGGTGGTTTCAGGATAGTCAGACTTTTACCTGAGGGCTGACTTTCTTCACAGCAAGAGTGTCAAGGGACAGGAAGTGGAAGCTGCCAGCCTCTTAAAACCAAGACCCTGAAGCTGACACAGCTTAACTTCCACTGTTGGATAAAGCAGGCAGAGCTGCCCAGATGCGAGGGGAGGAGACATAACCTTCAGGTCTTGACGGACAAGTGCCAAAGAATTTGTGGCCACTTTTAATCTTCCACATTCTCCAACCAGAACCCAAAAGGTTTGTTCATAGTTGGACATTATCCTAGTCTGACCTCATAACGAGCTGCTTTGCGTTCATGTAGCTCTGTATGCATTAAGGAGAAAGTTCATGTACTCTGTCTCAATTTATCCTGCCAATATCTCTGTGAGATAGTAGGTTGGATAACAAGGCGACTGAGATACAGAGGTTAAAGGCCTAGGATCACACAACTTCCTAGGGACAAAATTAAGACATAAATCTGAATCTCTTGACACTTAGTCCATGCTGAGGAATTCTGGTTTGTTTGTTTGTTTACCCCGGCCACCCTCCTCTCTGACACACATAGCTGTAGGAGAGGAAAGCACATTGCCCTTTGGCTGAAAATCTGGCCACAGATCTTTGCAGGTGAAGCTCCAAGTGCAAGCAAAGGTAATGTTAATATGACTGCTCAGTCCCATGCCATCAGTAAGGACCCTTGAAGCCACTGTACTGGCCTTCACTCTTGGGAAACTCTCTGCGGATCCTCCAGCGGCAGCAGCTAGGCAGGATAGCGAAATCAGCCAGGTCCTGGGAGCCAAAGCGCCAGGTGGTGTAGCACCTGTAGGCACAGTGCCGCAGCTGGCTGTTGGTGGAATCTGCGTCCAGCACCAGCAAGGGCTCCTGGTAGAGCAAGAGGAACTGCAGGACGCGTCTGGACAGGACGAGCTTCTTGAACGGCTCTGAGGTGGTGATGCAGGCACCCACCTTTTTCCGGCAGCACAGCTCCTCCAGGCACCTATGGCTCTCAGGGAGCTGGGATGGGAGGCAGTTTCCACACTGGCACCAGTGCGGGCTGTCTCTGTGTTTAAGAGTCACCTCTTCACTAAGCAGCTGGATCTCCTCTGGTTGTTGAGAAGTTGGGGGTGGGTCTTGGAGAAACAGGGGCAGCCTGGACAAGTCTGTGAAGTCCATCGAGGGTCTCTGAAAAAGTCAAGTTTCCAAACCCATCAGCGATGACAAGCCCTAGGGTTCTCGGTTCTAGGTTCTTTAATTTTATTAACTTATAAAATTACATTTAATATTATGTTAATACTAGTAGCTATCATTTATTAAATGTATGTATCAGAACATGTGCTAGTGTTTTACAAGCGTTGCCTCATTTAAGCCTTTGAAGAACCTCATGAGATATGTGTCCTTATCTCCATTTTATACATTTCGAAAGTGAAATTCAGAGAAATCAGGCCTCAATGCAGATATCACCTCTTCAAAGAGAACTTCTTGCCCTGACCACCTGATTTAGGTAGTTCCCCTCCTCCCAGGTCATTCTCTTAGCACATCACGAGATTCTACATTCTTCATAGTACTTATCACCATCTGAAATGATCCTATTAATTGATATGTCTACTTGATTCTTCTTCCACATGAAAGCATTTGTTTATTGCTGTATCCTCATCGCCTCACACAGTTCCCAGCACATAGTAGATTTGTTGACTTAGCTCCACTCTCTCCATTCCCACCAGGCTGCCTCTTCTGGCAATTATGTTTGTTATCCTCCAAGAGAAGCTGCAGTAATTGCCATCATTTATGTCTATTGTTTGTGACATACAAACACAAAGCAAGCCTGAGGCCAGTACATTAAAACTGAATAGTTCTTGTACATGAATGTTCACAGCAGCACTATTTACAATAGCCAAAGGATGAAAACAACCCAAGTGTCTATCAATGGATGAATAGATTAAAAAATGTTATGTTCATACAGTGGAATATTATTCAGCCAAAAAATAGGAATGAAGTACTGACACATGCTACAACATGGATGAACCTTGACGACATTATGCTAAGCGAAAGAAAAAGCCAGACAAAAAAGGACAAATGTTGTATGATCCCATTTATACAAAAGGTCCAAAATAGGCAAATCCATGGAGAAAGAAAGCAGATTAGTGGTTGCCAGGGGTTAGGGGGAAGTGGGAATGGGGAATGGCTGCTGAATAGATACAGGGTTTCCTTTTCGGGTGATGAAAAAGTTCTGGAACTAGATAGTGGTGATGGTTGCACGGCATTGTGGATGTACTAAATGTCACTGAATTGTACACTTTAAAATGGTTAAAATGATAAGTTTTATGTTATATGTATTTAACCGCACACACACACAAGTTCTTGTTACACCTAAACCCAACAAGGACATTATAGTCATGTGTCGCTTAACGACGAGGATACATCCTGAGAAGTCTGTTGTTAGGCAATTTTGTCATTGTGTGAACATCATAGAGTGTATTTACACAAACCTAGATGGTATACCCTACTACACACCTAGGCTATATGGTACTAATCTTATGGGACCACTGTTGTATATGCAGTCTGTCATTGAAAGAAATTTTGTTATGTGACACATGACTGTACAAGAATAGAAAAATTCTCATCAATCTCTCAAGAAGAGATGTAAAAATCTTAAATATTAGTGAATTGAATCCAGCAATAAATACAAAGAATAATACATCACCTTCAAATTGATTTTATTGCAGGAATGCAAGGTTGGCTTAATATTTGAAAATCAATCTGTGTAATTCACTACAAAAAAAAAAAAAAACCTCATTGATTATTTCAAAAGAAGTAGAAAAAAGTTTATTTAAAAATTCAGGGGCCGGCCCAGTGGCACAAGCGGTTAAGTGTGCATGCTCCGCTGCGGCGGCCCGGGGTTCGCCGGTTTGGATCCCAGGTGCACACCAATGCACTGCTTGGCAAGCCATGCCGTGGCAGCGTCCCATATAAAGTTGAGGAAGATGGGCACAGATGTTAGCCCAGGGCCAGTCTTCCTCAGCAAAAAAAGAGGAGGATTGGCAGATGTTAGCACAGGGCTGATCTCTTCAGAAAATAAATAAATAAATAAATAAATAAATAAATAAATAAAAATTCAATATCCATTCATGATAAAAATTCTTAGCAACCTAGGAACAGAGGGAATTTTCTTAATCGTATAGAGCAATCTTTAAAAACCTACAGCAAATACTATAATGAATAGTGAAATATAAAAAGCTTTCTTCCTGAGATAGGGAATGAGACAAAGATGTCTGCTATTATTGCTTCTATTCAGTATTGTACTGGAGGTCCTAGCAGGTGTAATAAACACCTAGAGCTGGAAGAGGCAAGGAAGGATCCTCTCCTAGAGACTTCAGAGGGAGCACAGCCCTGCCAACACCTTGATTTCAGAATTCTAGCTACCAGAACTGTGAGAGAATAAATTTCTGTTGTTTTAAGCCACTTAGTTTGTGGTAATTTATTATGGCCACCATATAAAACTAAAACAGTGAAGATGTCCAGAAATCAGAACTGCTGGGGAGAATGTGAATTAGAACACCCACTTTAGAGAACTGTTTGGTAGTATCTACTAAAGCTGAACATATGCCTGCCTTATGACTCAGCAGTTCCACTTTTAGGTGCCATATGTTTACCATAGCAACATCCCGTGCATGAGCTCACAGCAGCATGAACCCCAAAAGGGAAACTACCCAAATGTCCACCAACAGTAGAATGGATAAATAAATTGGATGTTTATAAAATGGAAATTATATAACAATGAGGATGAACTATTGCTATATGCAACGTCATGGATGACTCTCACAAAAATAATGTTGAGTGAAAGAAGCCAGACACTCAACAGACTAGGTACTAAGCATATACTATAGGATTCAAATTTTATAAAATTCTAGAAGAGGTAAAACTAACCTTTGGATACAGGATAATGACAACTTTTTTGTGTGTGTGTGCATGAGGAAGAGTAGCCCTGAGGTAACATCTGTTGCCAATCCTCCTCTTTTTGGTGAGGAAGATTGGCCCTGGGCTAACATCCATGCCCATCTTCCTCCACTTTATATGGGACGCCACTATAGCATGGCTTGATAAGTGGTGCGTAGCTCCATGCCTGGGATTCGAACCTGCGAACCCTGGGCCACTGAAGCGGAGCGTGCGAACTTAACCACTACGCCACCGGGCCAGCCTCAATAATGACAACTTTTAAGGGAGGGTAGTGATTGGGTGGAGGCATGAAAGGACTTCTGGTAGTAATATTCACTTTTTTAATGTAGGTGCTGGTTACATGTGTTTACTTTGTTAAAATTCATCAATTGTGATTTGTACAAATTTCTAGAGGTATTTATATTGAATAGTAAGTTTTCTTTTTTTAAAAAAATGGACTAAATGTCTTAACTTACTGGAACTTCTTCACCCTTGACATCTTGCAGACTTCTCCCAAGTAGCTGCCGGTCCACCATCCTAATGTGGGCTTCATCCACAAAGGACACATACTTTAATGTCTAGGAAAATAAAATTAAAATATTTACCCATTTTTGTATAGAATTATCAAGAATTGCATATCTGAACATATGTAATGCAACTGTTATTCTCATTCACCAAATGACAAACTGTTAAACAAGCTAACCAAAAACTCTTGCTAACCAAGAGTGAATGATTTTGAATCTAAAGGTAAATCAGAAATGGAATCCCAATCCCAAGCACTTTATTTGTAGACGCAGAGTATCCACAGCTTACTGCCCAATATTTTTACATCCCCCAGGTGCTATTGTGTTCCCTCAATTTTAGTTATTCTAGATTGAATATCTCTGGAAATTTAGACTATTGCAACTTAAATTATTTATATTTTCATTAAATTTCATCCCATCTTGGGCCATGAAATGGTGATTGCTTTTAGTTGCAAAGATGAACTTTTATTTTAAATTGCAAATACATGTACAATGAACAATGAATCGTGCATTCAGCTGCTGGAAAAGGACAGTAATGTTCTTGGATGAGGGAAAGACAAAGAAACCCTCTTTGTTGTTTTTAAGTACCAGAGATTTCTCTTTGATTGCAGGAAATCATGGAGTCAAATGTAGAGGACCTGCTTAGTAAAGTCCAAATTAATCAAATCAAAACCATACAGATGAGCTAAAATTCCCTTTGACCACTCCCCCATCCTAGACTCCTTTCCAGAGGCAATCACTGCTATCACTTTTGTGTATATCCAATACCTTTTTGTATACATATATTACCACCCTTACACATATATATGTGTGTGCATATAATGCATCTAGAAAATGTATAGAATATATAAAATATATAGAATATATATGTATGTATATATATGTACATATATAATATACATGTAGAAAATACATAGAATTAGTTTATGTCTGTAGTTGGGTTTTTTTGTGTGTGTGTGAGGAAGATCAGCCTTGAGCTAACATCCATGCCAATCCTCCTTTTTTTGCTGAGGAAGACTGGCCCAGGGCTAACATCCATGCCCATCTTCCTCTACTTTATATGGGACACCGCCACAGCATGGCCTGACAAGCAGTGCTTCGGTGCGCGCCCAGGATCTGAACCCAGGCTGCCAGCAGCCGAGCGCGCACACTTAACCGCTATGCCACGGGACCTGCCCTGTAGTTGTTTTTTAACCTATAAATCATACCATATATATTGTTCTAGAGTTTGCATTTTTCCTCTCAACAAATATCTTGGATATCTTCTTATGCCAGTACCTGTAACATAGGTAGTTATGAATATGGATTCTGAACCAGCCTGCTTAAGTTGGAATTTCAGCTCTGCCACTTACTAACTGTATGACTTTGGGCAACTTATTTAACCTACCTGTGCCTCAATTTCCTCATCTATAGAAAGAGATAATAGTAACACCTATCTATAATGCTACTAATAATCACGTAATCACATAAACCTATCTATCTCTAGGGTTATTGTGAAAATTCAATGAGTTAATGTATATAAAGCACTTCAAAGTGCTATATGAACATTTGCTATTATTACTATCTACCTCATTCTTATCAACTGGTGACAGGCATTCCTTACTATGGATTTATCAGAGTTTATTTCACCCTTCACCTATTGGACATTTGGGTGGGTGCTCTTTCTTCACTGTTGCAAACAGCGCTGCGATGGACATCTTGTACACGTGTACTACTTGAGTACCCATGTGGATGTTTCTCTAGGGCAGGTATGGAGAAGCGGAAATGCCAGGCTGTAAAGTGTGTCCTGTTTAAATGTTATTAGATACTGCCAGATTGTTCTCCAAAGTCATTATACTATCTTTTTTTTTTTTGGCTATACCAATTTAATAAATCTGTCAAAATTGACAAATCCTGGAACATAAAAATTTGTTTTCCCTATATCTTGCCTCTCCATTTTTGTTTCTATTCTTCCCTGAGACCAAAGGATTCATCTGAGAGGTGGTGGATTGGGGTAGAGTCCAGAGACCTGTCCACCATGGGATTACACCTGTGATTTTGGCCTTATTCTTGCACATTTCTCAGTGATCTAACGGACTCCATGGGTGTTTTGGGGTCCTATAGACACCTTGAGCCTTACCGGCTTTGGCTCCACAATGGACTCACACTTCTTCCTGTAGTAGTATTCATTGACTGAGCAGGGCTCGCAGCACTTGCAACAGGGATAAATACGGGTCCGACAGCCTTTACTTGAGTAAGTGTTGATGAGAAAGTCGATGAACAAGGTGGCCTGGGAAAAACCCAGACAAGTGCCATGTTAGTGAAACTTCTTTTTGCCCAATTATTTTCATCAAGCGTGGGAAAGAGAATCCCTTACCAAACCAAAGTAGGAGAGAGTTGAGCCGATGAACACAATCAGCTGGATAATGTCAAATTTTCCTCCCTGAAAACAGAGTGGGAAAGGTTACTGAGCTGAAACTCAGAGCAATGCTCTTTTGCTCTAACCTGTAATTGTTAGTTCTAGCAGAGGAGGGAGCCCAGGGCTGTGACTTTGATAGATGCATCCAAGGTGTTCACAGCAACAGAGACTGTGGAGACTGGAAATATGACTCCCACTCGTGCTGTTTCTGCCTTCTGGGATGTGCTTGAAAGCATGAATGTTTTAAACAAAGAAGCGCTGGAACCCACACATTCAGAGGAGAACCACTGAAGGGTTGTTGTTTTTCCATACAAGGGGAGGGTTTCAGACAAGCTTTCCCTAAAAGTGGTTTGAGATTACTTTGGAAGCAGAGGGATGGAATGTCTGCACAAACCCTTCCCTCGGGTGTGCTTGTGGTTCTTATTCTCAAGGGTCTTTCTATCCTTTCAGCTTATATCTCATTGACTCTTATGCCGCTTATCACCTTGTTACATAAATAATATGCTGTTGGACAAGCTGTTGTGGCCATCTATTGATTTTTCTATGCCCAGCATCCCCTCCTTCTTTCTTCTGGAGACAGCACCCCAATTTGCCTTTGGAGAACCATCTTTGTCCATACTCAGTCTGTGTAGTTTAGGGGGAAGGAGCTGGTTCAGGGCTGGTCCAAGACCAGCCATTGAGAGTACAGCATGGCCTTGATCACAGTGATTAGTTCAGCAGTGGGCATGCGGCCCATATTGGGCCAATCAGAGCCAATGGCATCTGTCTGAGGCCTTTGCTGACACTTCCAGCAGAGATGTTCTCTTTTCATTGAGGTTGCTAAATTGGTAAGATATAAGGAGCTGCCTGTGACACTACCACATAGAGGTGGCCAGCTGAGGATAACACCAAAACAGAGGAGAACAGATGTAAAAGATGGAGGGAGGCAGATTCCCGATGATGTTGTTTGAACATCTGGATCCAGCCATGCCTGAAGCCTGAAAATTGCCCCTGGATTTTTCAGCCATGTGAGCTAAAAAAGAAAAGACTTTTTTTCTTAAGCCAATCTAAGTTGGATTCTGTTACTTACAAACTATTTTGCAGAGGAATTTCTTCCTCCTTTTTTTTTTTTTTTAACATAAGAGTATTTTTAAAGTTGAATATTAGATTTTTTTCCCAGTCCCACTCTTGTACTCATCAGATGACTTGTTCCTGGACAGGACTCCCAAGGACATGTCTTCTCCCTCTCTTATCCTACATGCAAGAAGCACAGTGCCAGCTAATGACTGTGACCAGAGCATTCACCCCTTGAGGCACTACAGCAATAATTAGGACACAGTCATAGGAATGGAGGTGCCAGTGGCTGGGAGCAGAGACTTACAGTGCCAAAAACCAGGATGTCAAAACGGATCCCGAAGACTTTTATCAGAGTCCGTTTTTCAACATTGTTTTCCTTATAGTACTTGGCATATCTGTAGAAGGAAAAGGATCCATATTTATAAAGATCTATCTGAAGATGCTGGTATTTTATGAAAAGAAAAACCAAAACAGCAGCCAGTCTAGTCTTCCTTGTCCGTCTTCCAGCTCTGCCGCAGTTGGCAGAGGGAAGAATACAATCCAAACCCACGAATTACTCTCTCTGCCCACCTGGGACTGAAGCACCACTTCCCCACGTCACCTCTTCTACTTCCACCATCACAGAGTCATGGAAAAGCTGCTTTTCATTTAAGATTAAAATGAACAATTTTTAACCAATACAAGATTAACAGCAGGCAGAGAAATTTTTAAAAATAGCTTTAAGCAATCTGATTATTCCTTGTGAGGGAAAAATTGATTTGGCTTCTAGTACAAATGGAGGGGGAGGGGTGAATCTTAGATTCTAATTATTGGATTGGGGACAGATACACCTCGGCAATCTGTTCTCATTGTATTTTCTTAGATTCTGTATTTGTCTATTTCGCGTCTGTTATTACAGGGCCAAACTAACAGCTACAATTGTTTACATCTCCCCTGTGATCCAGCTTTTGCGAGTGTGTGAAAATCATGTTACAAACCCTCCAACCAATCCCGACTCCATATCTCCAGCCATCTCCTTTACCTAACTCTCACACTCCCAACCTACGGTACACTAAATCACCCAGGGCCGGGTACCAAATGACCAGAAGCCACCCTTATAGCCCAGAGCTTGCTGACATTACCTAAACTAACCAGTCCTAAGCTGTTTCCCCCGCCTTGCCTTTCCCACGAGAAACACAATAAAGGTTCTGAAACATGCTTTTCCCTCAGTCCTTCTACCTCCTGACCAAATCTGGTGCTTCCCCCTGTGGCCCTGTTTGGCATGGCATGCCCCCTCCTCTTAGGAAATGTAAGTAATAAAATATTTTCAATGGCATTGGCCTCTCCATGTCATCACTCAGTCACCTTTATAAATTAAGACTCAGGCACAAATCACAATCACCCCAAATATGCAACTTTCACCAGTGCTGCAGTCAGGAAAATGGTATGTTTTTTTAATGAATAATTAGGAAGGTTTAAACCACATGTCTCACGAAACTTTTAAACGTGTCCCTCCCTCTTACCACCTTTTGCTGGTGGTTTTAGGTAAGGGTATATATTTTCTTTCTGAGTTATTAATTCACAATCTATTTACAGGTGTGGGGAAAGAAGAAAACAGAAGACAGATGCTCTTCCAGAATATAGTATGGAACATCTGAAACTCTTTTTTAACTCTCAAAAGCTGACGTTGAGGCTGGTTAGATATTCTCAGGTGCTTCAGTGCCTGTTTTTGATCAGAGGGGTTTCGACTTCTTTGCATCTGATTGTTCTTGTTTCATGACCATTCTTTCCTCTTCTGCTCTGTTGAGTAATTTGTCTTTTAATACACAAAGCAAGCGTGCATCCCACTCCATGCCCCAGGGCTGAGATTCTCTATGAAGTTGGTTTGCCTGGGAAGGTTAACACTAGACAGTAAATACCTGTATTTCTGTTTCAGTGTTTTGGTACAGTGGTTCTCAAACTTAGGGCAAGAATCACTTGGGAAATGTGTCCAAAAGGCAGATTCCTGGGCCTCACCCCCAAAGGGTGGTTTCAGGTCTGAGATGTTCCTAGGAATCTGTGTTTCCAGGAAAGGTACTGGGTGTTTCTTGTGCAGGTGGACAGTGGGCCACACTCTGAGAAACACCAGGCCCTGGACAAAGATGTTTTTTGTACATTGTAATGGGTTGAGTAGTGGCCCCCAAAGATACACCCAAGTGCCCAACCCCCGTACCTCTGAATGTGGCCGGCCTTATTTGGAAATAGAGTCTTTGCAGATGTAATTAAGGATCTCAAGATGAGATCATCCTGGATTTAGGGGGGGCCCTAACTCCAGTGACTAGGGTCCTTATAGAGAAAGGAGAGGGAGAGTTGAAAGAGAAACACAGAGGAGAAGGCCATGTAAAGATGGTGGCAGATATTGGAGTGATCAGCCACAAGTTAAGGAATGCCTAGAGGCACCAGAAGCTGGAAGAGGCAAGGAAGGATCCTTCCCTAGAGCCTTTGGAGCAAGCGTGTCCCTGCTGACACCTTGATTTTGGACTTCTGGCCTCCAGAACTGTGAGAGAAAAAATTTTTATTGTTTTAAGCCACCAAGTTTGTGGTAATTTGTTATAGCAGCCACAGGAATCTAATACATACACATTCTGAACCAGAGAAGTGCATCAGGCACGTGCCCTCCTTTACACATGCTGTACTAAACTGAATTACATATTCTCTGAATAAGGACCTCGTGCCATGGATCTTTTGGTAAAGGACAAAATTTTGTAATGTGACCAACTTCTTCAACATCCTATGTTTTGGAAAGTTATATTTTCTCATATACCTCATATAACCTGTAATTTCCTTCTCTTCTGTGTGGCTATTTGAAGATAACTTGTCCGGTTACCCGTCAGATCTCGACAATTTATTTTTGGCCAAAGATTTCTTATGATGCTCGTTCCAGACAACAAATGATCTCACACTTTGTTCTAAAAGAATATTAACATCATAACCACCTCAGTTCTTCAGAAAGCTCAGATCTCTCCAGGAGCTGTTGTTCTCAGTCTTACCTCAGCAACTTGAAGGACATTTTGCTAACATCTGGTTGGTACATTGCCCTGCAAGCTTCTGCTGCTTGCTAAAAAAACAGCCTGCGAGGGCAGTCAGGGGACCACTGATCTGGTCCTCTCTTCTTGCTAATGGCCATAGCTTATTCAGTAGAGCAGCGGGGGATGATCAAAAAGTTACCTAAACTAGGAGCTGGTTTTAGGGCCCTGGATGAAACTCCACTGACCCAGGAGGCAAAAAGCCTCTTCTGTTTTGATCTCAGCTGGCTTTTTTCAAGGGTTTCAAGCTCAGATGCCTACAGGGGCCAGGCATAGAGCAGAAATGAGTTATTCAAGCCAGGTATAAGACAGCAAGGAGTGGTGAGGACAGTGGCAAACCCAAAAGACACGACTTTCCTGAAAGGAACCACTGATGTTCAGCTCTAGCCGAATGCTGCCATGTAAGATATGAACCCAGAGTTGTCAAATGGTTTAATTTTTTTAAATAGTTTAATTTTTTAAGAAAAATAGAAAGTCCAGATTTTTGTGTAGAATGTCTCAACTTTCAAAACACTATGTAGGCCACAAACAAAAAAACAAAAAAATATAGTTGAAGGCTACTTGCCAGTTTATGATGCTGCTTTAAGTAAAATAGAAATAGACCCATTTGCTTGAGCAGACCTCTCTACAAGTCAGTAAGAATGCTAGCAGAAGGGTTAGGAAGCAGTGACTGTGTGTGTGTGTGTGTGTGTGTGTGTGTGTGCACACCTGCACTTTTGCATGCACTCACATGCACAGATTAAGTAGACACATCATTTTATTCTGAATCAGCATCACGTGGGAACTTGTTAGAAATGCAAATTCTCAGGCTCTACCCTGGACCTACTGAATCAGACGCTCTGGGGGCTGGCCTAGCGACTTGTGGCTTCACAAGCTCTCCAGGTGATTCTGATGCACACTCAAGTTTGAGAACCACTGATCTAGAACCTTGATACTCAAAGCATCCTGCATCACTCATTTCTGTTACAACCTGGTTATAGAGACGAAATGTAGTACAGTGAAACATCTCAGAAGAATGTACATTTGGGATGCTAGATGATATAGTCTAGACCAGCGCTTCTCAAACTTTAATGTGCACATGAATCTCCTGGGAATCTTAAAATGCAGATTTTGATTCAGTAAATCTAGAGTGGGGCCTGAGATTCTGCATTATAACAAGCTCCCAGGTGAGGCCCATGCTGCTGGTAGTGTTTTATTGTATAAATACACACAATTTGTTTCTCCAATCACCTGTTGTTGGGCATTTGGGTTATTTCTGGGTTTTGGCTCTTACGAATAAGGCTGCTGTGAACATTCATGTACAAATCTTTGTGTGGACATATGTTTCTTTTCTTTACCTAAGAGTCAGATTTCTGGAGGATAGAGTAGATGTGTGTTTAACTTTATAAGAAACTTCCCAACAGTTCTTTAATACGGTTATACCATTTTACACTCCCACCAAGAAAATAGGAGCCTTCTAGTTGCTCCTCCTCCTTGCCAACATTTGGAATTGCCAGTCTTTTTAAATTTTAACCATTCTGGTGGATATGTAGTTGTATCTCACTGTGGTTTAAATTTGCATTTCCCAGATGACTAATGATGTTGACTTGTCAGAGTTTTATATTATATTTTTGTCTTATATTCTACATATATATTCTACTTATACTTATATTCATGTCCTACTAGGATATAAGCTAAGTAGTAACTTTGTCTATTTTGTTTACCAATATATAGCCAATTGGCACAATATTTTTTTCTTCAATATATATGTGATGAATGAATGAATGAGGAATGCCAATATCAGTTTCCTACTGGCTTCATAGGCAAATTGTATAACCATTATTCAGTACTTGGCAACTCTGAAAAGGGAACAGCATAAGCCTACTTTGTGTCTGGAACCCGGGTGCAAAATGCCCATAACCACAGTCACAGAAACCTGCCTGGCTCCCACAGGCAACGATGGGTCATGGAGACTGTGTTGTAAGCCTCAAACTGAAGGGCCAAGTTAGTGTTGGGACAGAGTTGCAAGAAGATGCTGAAAAAATGATCCAGACAGAGGAGGTAATGTGGAAACTAGGTTAGGATGGCACAGGATCACCAGTGGGCAAAAGTCAGGAGCAGAGAAGTGAGCTGTGCAGAGGGTTAAAACAAGAGTAGATCAGCACCAAACTAGCACCAGCCAGCTTAAGAGTGAAAATGAACCGGGATTCTAGTAAATTTATAGGGTTGAAGTCCAGAAGCCAGAAGCATACACAGTGCACTACAAAGAACTTTAAGTAAGACAAGGTTGCAGTGAGGAAGCAGCGTGGCCCAAGAGATCAAGAGTCTTTAAGCTGTTCTTACCAAAAGGACTTCCCGTCAAACTGGCAGCCTGAGCTAGCACAGGACACCCCACCACCTCCACTACCACCTCCTACCCCACACACCGAGAAATGCAAGATGAAATATTTTTTTAAGTCATATCAATATATTAGTGAGCTCAAAACAAGGAAGGGCATTTTCTAGGTGCTAGAGATGAGTGGTGAGTGGGGACTGAAGCCATGTGACCCCTAGGAGTACCCAAACCGGATCTGTATCTGAGGAGCTAGAGTCTTATACTTCTGGGGAAGGGGAGCTGAGGCTGCAGAAGCCATACATAGCAAGGGAGCAAGAACGGGATAGTTTTAGCAAAGTGAAATCATCCAGCACCCAGAAATTAAACTAAAAGCTGGTTCATAATTGATAGATGTCGTACAGTCCCGGGAGGCTACAAAATCACATAATCACCCCAGAGGAATGTCTCCATATCCCATGGCACACATAGGACTTTGCACAGGATCATTCCTTCTGAAGCCCACCAACAAATATTCCAAAGCCCCACAAGGAGAAATCCCATCCAGATTACTACAGATAATTGGTCAGTGTAAAAGGGGTTATACTTCTACTGTGTAACTTGTATATATATGGACAGAAGAAGTAGGATCCATAAGGTAAGAATGGAACTCATTGAAACAATTACAGATGGCTATGAAAAAGAACCAAATATAAATCCAAGAAATGAAAAATATAGCCATAGAAGTTTTCTTTTAAACCTGAAAGCATATGGTAAAATGATAATAACCTTTGATCTAATAATTCTTCTTCTAGAAATTGATCCTAAGGAAATAATCTGGAATTCCAACAAAGATTTACGTAAAGAGATATACACAGCAGAGTTATTTACAATAGAAAAACTGGAAACACCTCAAATGTCCAAGAATGGAGGAGTGGATGAGAAAATCATGAGATGGAAGGGAAAGGGTATGAGTTTTGGGGTCAGAGTGACCTAGGTAAGGATTATGGAGCCTCTCGGGCAAATCATTTCACCTTTCTCAGCTCTACCCTGGAGCACTAATATCTTCCTTCCAGGGTTGTTGTGAGGTGTAGAGATGATGATGTAGACTGCCTGGTATATAGAAGACCCTCCCTCATCTGTAGCTATTGTTATTATTCACACAATGGGATCGTTAATGTGATGGTCACAGAGAATTTTGAGTGACCAGGGTATGAAAAAACCCACAGAATACCAAATTATATATACCAAATTATATGATATGATCTCATATAAACCTCATGGAAGACTTGGTTAGACAAAGGAAAATTCACCAGAGGGTTATCCTCGATTATCTCAGGATAGAGGAATTATGGGTGATTTTTATCCTCTTCTCTATGTTTTTCTCTTGTTTCCCGAGTTTCTTTTTTGTTTTAAAAAGAGTGTGCATCTCTTTAATAATTAAAAAGAAAAAAAATTCATGCAAAAATCCAGTCACCACCTAGCTCTTAGAAGAAGTCTTTTACATTCATCTTGTTGCCTTGGGAACCAAAACTAATCTTACTGGCTGCTGGGGATGCAATTCAGCCGGAAAGGCACCTGGGGAGCCAAGGGTGGCCAGTCTGACCTGGCGCGCTGTTACCTGAAGTTGTAGCCAGGGTACGAGGACTTGCTGGCGGTCTTGTCGTCAAGGCGGCGGAAACTGTATTTTGGACGGCAGCGATGGAACCAACTGTCCAGGATGCAGTCCCAGTAGATCTCAATGCCCATGATTCCTCCCTGGGGAAGACAATGAGAGACAGTCTCCAGGTCCTGTGGGGTGTGGGTTACGCAGCCACCAGACATCTCCCTGCATAGTGACGATCACTGAAGGAGAGGTTTTCTTTTTAGGGGAAAAATGCCTATTAAAGGTTTCAGAGCCATAAGCACAGCCCTGTTTAACTCACACAAGTATTACAGAGGCAGCTGCAGACACATCTCTCTGCTCCTCCAGTCTGGGACAAACCACCGTTAGATTTATTTTCCTTAAATATAACTTTCAACAAACCATTCCCATAATCAAACACCTTAACCCACCCCCCCATAAAAATTAAGTTGAAATCTGTTAGACTGGAATTCGGGGCACTCCATCACATATCTTCTCTGCTTTACCTCCCAATACTACCCTAGAGAAAGCTCTTATTCCAAACTGTCTACACTTTTTCCTAAACACATTTGGCATTTGCATTTCTTTTTTTTAACAGCTTTATTGAGATATAGTTCCCATATAATTTGCTTGCTTAAAGTGTACAATTCAACAGTTTTCAGTATATTCATGCATCTGTGCAACTGTCACCACAATCAATTTTACAACATTTTCATTTCCTCCAAAAGAAACCCTGTAAACTTTAGTTATCACCTTTTTATCCCCTCTCAGCCCTAAGCAACCACTAGTCTACTGTTTGTCTCTATAGAGTTCCTTATTCTGAACTTTCATATGAATGAAATCATATATATGTGATCTTTTGTGTCTAGCTTCTTTCACTTAGCATAATGTTTTTCAAGTTCATCCACACTGTAGCATGTATCAGTACTTCAGTCCTTTTTGTAGTGGAAGAATATTCCATTGTATGGATATACTACATTTTGTTTATCCATTCATCATCCTTTGATGGACATTTGGGTTGTTTCTGCCTTAGGGCTATTATGAATAATGCTGCTATGAACATTTATGTGCAAGTTTTTGTGTGGACATATGTTGTCATTGCTCTTGGGTATATCCTTAGGAGTGGAATTGCTGGGTACTTTGAAATTTTAAATCTTGGCCTTTGCCCTTTCTTCCAGTAAAATATTTCTCCCATCTGCCTCTCTAGCTAAATTCTCCTCATCCTTCAAGACCCAGTTTACCTCCTTCCTCATCCACTCAGCCACTCCTATCCTCCTCAATTCAAGGTGACTTTTATCTCTTCTGAACTTCCAAGGACTCTTAATCTCTTACCTGTACTTGGTACTTCTTTCTTTCTACAAACATTTTTTGAGCACTGACTATTATATTTCATTGAATCTTTTTTTTTTTAATGTGAGGAAGATCAGCCCTGAGCTAACATTCATGCTAATCCTCCTCTTTTTGCTGAGGAAGACCAGCCCTGAGCTAACATCTATTGCCAATCCTCCTCCTTTCTGTCCCCAAAGCCCCAGTAGATAGTTGTATGTCATAGTTACACATCCTTCTAGTTGCTGTATATGGGACGCGGCCTCAGCATGGCTGGAGAAGTGGTGCGTCGGTGCGTGCCCGGGATCCGAACCCCGGCCACCAGTAGCGGAGCGCACACACTTAACCGCTAAGCCACGGGGCCGGGCCCTTATTGAATCTTAGACACCATTGCTTGTAAGACACATTTTTTTTATGTTCCTCTAAGAAAAAACGCTATCGATTAAACTATGAGACTCTATCAATTGAAAGCATTTCCTGATTTCAAAACTATTAAAATGTGAAAAAAAAGTGTATCTTTGAATCAATGAAATATGGCATTTTAAGACAGTATGCTAGATACAGAGATGAGTAACAAGCAGGCTCTGACTTGGAGAAAGGGGATATAATACAGAATAATTACAACTGCCATTTATTGTCAGGTATTAAGCCAAGCACTCTACGTACTATAGTGAATATCTAATTTTTTGTCACTCAGCATCCAATTCTCCTTCTTCTGGTAAAAGCACCTGGAATTTTGGGGGGGAAACACCTCTCCCAACTCTCAGTAGTTTGAATGGGGCTGTCTCCTCACCCAGCTCCAGGAGTAGGCACATGACCCAGGCCAGACCAATCAGGATAGTGCCTAGACCTGGTGATTGCTTCAGGGGTAGGTATATGGCCCAAGGTAGACCAATCAGAGCCCTCCCTGAGACTTTTTTTGCCAGAACTATAGGAAAAGACGTCCTCTATTGGCTGGGACCACTAGCTATAGAGTGTGAAAGTCCAGAGCAGCATTGTCCAATATAGTTTTGTGCCATGATGAAATACTTTATATTCATGCTGCACAATACAGTAGCCACTGGTCACATGTGGCTATTGAACACTTGAAATGTGGCTGGTATGACCAAAGAAATAAATTTTTGATTTCATTTAAGTTTAATTTAAATAGCTGCATGTGACTAGTGGCTACCATATTGGACAGCACAGTTCTAGAGCTTTGGCTTTGCCTCAACCTGTGGAGAATCTGCCTGAGAATGACATAATCATTAAAGAAACAACCAAGAGTCAGATTCCTGAGGGCATCATTTGAATTTCTGGATGGAGCTATGCTTAAAGCTATCATACCCTTCATTCAGTCAACAAATATTGATTGAGTGTCCGTTATGTGTTGAGCGTTACAAGATAATTAACCAAAAAAAAAGACAAAGATCCCTGCCCTCGTGGAATTTACATTCTAGTCAGGGAAGACAGAAAACTAACAAATGGATATGTAAAATATATAGTGTGTCAGATAATGCTAGGTGCCAAGGATAAAAATAAACCTAGGAATGGCCATAGGACATGCTGGGATAGGGATGGAAATTGTCATTTTAAATGTAGTGGTAAAGGAAAAGCTTCAATGAGCTTATATTGGAGCAAATGTTGGAAGTAGGTGAGGGAGATAGCTACTGCTGTGTCTAGAGCAAGATTGTTCCAGGCAGAGGGAACAGCAAGAGAAAACGCTCAAGCTACGAACATGCCTTGGGTGTACTAGAAGGTCCATTCCCCCTGGTTGTTTTACATAAGCTAATATGGTTCCTTTTTTGCTTAAGCCTTGAGTTTGGTTTCTGTTATTTGCCCCCAAAATTACTTTTATATTTATTTATTTTTTGCCCATTCATTTGAGTTGCATTTCTATAACTTGTAACTGGAAGAATCCCAACTAATCCAAGTATGGTAGTCTGAATAATGGCCCCCAAAGATATTCCTAATCTCAGGTCCTAATCCCTTGAACCTCTGAAAGTGTTACCTTATATGGCAAAAGAGACTTTGCAGATGTGATTAAATTAAGGATCTTGAGATGGGGAGATTATCCTGGATTATCAAGGTGGGCCCTAAATTCTCCCTCTTTATAAGAAGGAGGCAGAGGGAGATTTGATGCAGAATAAGAAGTCAGTGTGACCACTGAAGCAAGATGCTGTGCTGCTGGCTTCGAAGCTGGAAGAAGGGGCTATGAGCCAAGAACTGGAAGGAATGAAGCTCTAGAAGGTAGAAGAGGCAAAGAAATGGATTTTCCCTTAGAGCCTCTGGAGGGAGCATGGCTCTGCTAATATCTTTTTATATTATTAACATGTTTTAATATTTTAGGTTAGAATTTATGAATGTTTTGCTGAGGTTCATTTATTTTTCATTTTTCCCCAGTTTTATTAAAAAATAATTGACATACATCACTGTATAAGTTTAAGGTGTATACCTGCTGATATCTTGATTTTGGCCCAGTGAAACTGATTTTGAACTTCTGACCTCCAGAAGTATAAAAAAATGTGTGTTGTTTTTAGGCCACCAAGTTTGTGGTAGTTTGTTACAGCAGCCACAGGAAATTAATACACCAAGTATCTCACTCATAGGGTTGTGGTAGGATTAGATGAGATAATGCAGGGAAAGTCTTTGGCACTGTGTGTGGATTTACTAAATGCTCAATAACGAGAACCACATGATTAACACCCAGTAGTCCAACCTCTTGGTCATTTGACATCTTCCATCTCCCAGCGCACACCCCCACACCTCACAGTACAAAGGCACCACCAACCTGAATTGCCACATCTGCAAAATTATCTCCTGTTTCTCGGAAGATATCTCCTAGTCGGAAAATGGGACACCGTGGATTCTGAGTCTTGTGAAAGGTACAAGTGATGTTTAAACCTGGCAAGACATTTCTCCTGCACATAATGAAAAGCAAACAAACATCACTATTGAAAACTGGGATCCATCTCTTTCATAGGTGTGAGCCAGTGTGGTAGCTGGACCTCCATGAGGTCCCCCAATGATCCCCACCACCCAGGATTCACACCCTTGTGTAGTCCCCTCCCACGTTGTACCAAGGTCGTTCTTTGTGACCAATAGCATATGGCAGAAGTGGTGGTGTGTCACTTCCAAGATTAGGTTGTAAAAGACTGCAGCTTCCATCTTAGTTACTATCTTGCTTGCTTGCTCGCTGTCTCTCTTGGATCATTTGCTCTGGGGGAAGCCAGTCACTATGTCCTAAGGTCACTCCAGCAGTCCTAGGGAGAGATCCCCGTGGTAAGGAACTGAGCCCTCCTGCGGACAACCAGGTGTGTGAGCTCAGAATAGGATTCTCCAGGGCCAGGTGAGCCCGGAGATGACTGCAGCCCCGGTTGACAGCTTGAGTGCAGCCTGAGAGACCCTGAGCCAGAACCACCCAACAAAGTCATTCCCAGATTCTTGATCCACAGAAACTGGGTGACATAATAAATGTTTGTTGTTGTAAGCCTCTAAGTTTTGGGGTAATTTGTTAAACAGCAGTAGATAACTAATATGGCCAGACATTCTAGGCACTTACGTGGTGTAATTGTGGCCAGGGAAGTCGATATTATTCTTGATGAGCACAGTGAAGTTTTCAGCACTGTTCAAGAGCGCAGGCCTAAGAGAGAGAACAGTGGGCCAATAGGACCAGAGGCTTCTGGTTTCTTGCTTTGGTCACTGCGACGAGTGAAGAGAAATGCAATCTAGTGGGCCAAACCTTCTAAAATTCTCCCCAGCTCCTCTAGGAATAATTTCTCCCTTCTTGAGACCCCACAGCATTTACTATAACACTTCTCACACTCTGATGTAATTATATGTTTAGGTATGTGCAGTGGTGTGCTGGTAAATGTTTAACAACTAGAGCTCCAAGAAAAAAAAAAAAAGCCCTGATATGTAGCATTTACTGATTATTGTGTTATAAATACTCCCACTGTGGCTGATTTCAAGCTACTAATGGGACATCACTGAATTTGGAGTTGTGAAGGGATGAGCATAATTGGCTCGGAGCTGGTACAAGCCAGCTCCAGCATGCCCTTGTTTGTATTTTTCCCAATAGGCTTGGCATTCCTTCAGGGCTGGGACTATAGTTTTCTTATTTTGGCATCCTCAGCCTTTAGCAGAGGGCCACACACATATAGTTGACTCTATCAGCCATTCTCTAGAGGCTCTGAGTAGCCTCTGTAAGTTAGAGGAACACAAATTCTAGACTGCAGGAAGGTCCACTCACTGTCCATCCATCCATCCATCCATTCAATAAATATTTACTATACTGGGGATGGGGCTTGGCCCTGGGAATATTTAGTGATGAACAAGACAGTCAAGGTTTTGTCCTTATGCAGTTGACAGTCTGTTAAAGATGGAGAGAACTGGCTGTGGATAAAAAGATACAGCTGCTACCTTGTTGCTTGGCATGCCTGAGTAGGTGGCGGGTATATATTGAGAGCAGCACAGGGAGAGGATGGAGGGTATTTGGAAGAGGGCACCAAAAATGATTTGCTTTTTATTCCGGGACTTCCAGAGCCCAGCTTTGGGTCTATTTGGGATATAGCTATGGTGAACAGTGTAATTTTTTGCCAGTCCAGCATCCATTTCCCCTCTGGAAGTAGCTCCTCAATTTTCTCCCTTTGCGGAAGCCAGGTTTCTTCCACTCTCAGTCCAGAGGGTTGGGTGAGGATGAGTCCATCTCCTGCCCATCCCTACAGCTCCCAGGGTGAGCAAGTGACCCAGAGCTGGCCAAACAGTGTAATCCAATCCTCTTGGCCACAGCGATTGGTTTGTAGATTTTCACATGACTTAGGCCAATGAGAACCTTCTAGGACTTTTGTAGGAACTATTGGAAAAGAAAAAATCCATGTCTCTAGGATTGTTAGTAGTAAGGACGGTGTAAACCTGGAGTTCCCTGGACCACAGTGTGAGGAGAGCCAAAATAGAAGAAAGAATAACTGGAGCGGAAAAAGAAGAGAGAGAGGGAATCTTAATGACATCAGTTGAGGCCTGGATCAAGCCTTGCCTGAAACCAGTACTTCTGGACTCTTCATTTACAGGAGTCAAAAACACAAGCCAAAAAATAACATTCCTTTTTTTTTTCTGTCACTTGCATTTAAAAAAATCTCATTTACGACAAATGCCTGCTATGTGCGGGAACCTTTGCCTGTAGAGCGTTCTAAATCTCACGCTTCCTGGACAACACTCTAAGAATCAGACGACTACAAGATCCCTTTTATTCCTTTCTCATTACGCTTATACCTTTCTGTCTGGAATTACAGCTTTCTGGGCACGTCTTATCTCTTCGGTTAGATTGCAAGAGACTTGGGACCTGCTCCATATCTTCTTGTATTTTACATAAAATTTAGCACAATATCTTGTGCATAGTTACATGTGAAATAAATATCTAACACCCACTATGTAGTAATGGATGTGTTGAAAGAATGATTAAATCCCTTCATATAATATACGAGGAAATCGCACTTCAGGGAGTTGCTTGCCCAAGGTCATGACCAGCACAATGGAGATGCATAGTATTTATCTGATGAATAAGTTGGTGACAGAGCCTGGACTGAAAACCAGAGGCAATCAAGAGGCCCCTTGCCTTGAAACAGGGACTATTTGAGTGTAGGCTGACTGGGCAATTCCTTCTGCGACAAAGAAACTTCCCTGCCCTAGAAATGAACCTGGGTGGTGCCATTAATGACTGAGGGCCAGACAGGCTGACACTGCCTAGTGCTTCCCACTCTGACGTGGGAAACCTTTGCCTGAACCTTCTAAAAAGTCAGCTTGGGGCAATCTTCTCTTTGCCCCACAGATGCTGATGGTGTGGTCCTGAGTCACATTCATCTAGGGCTGTACTCTCCAATGTAGTAGCCCCTAGCCATGTGTGGCTATTTAAATTAAAGTAAGTTAAAAATTCAGTTGCTCAGTTGCAGTAGCCGCATTTCAAGTGCTCAATCATGTGGCAAGTGGCTACCGTATTGGACAGTACAGGTACAGAACATTCCCATCATTGCAGAAAGTTCCACTGGACAGTGCTGGTCTAGAACCATCACACTTCTAGGGGCAGATCATTTGTGTGCGTGTCTGTGTGTCTGTGTCTGTCTGTGTGTGCATATGTGTGTGTTACTGAGCATTCACTATAAGCCAGGCATGGGGCTCACTTTGCAATCACTGTAAAAGTATCATTTCATTTAATTCTCCCAACAGCCCAGTGTGGTAGGTGCAATTATTATCCTCATTTTACAGATGAGGAAACTGAAACTCAGAGAGGTTAATTAAGCCACTTGCCCAAGGTCACACAGCAAGGATGTGTTACAGCCAGGATTTGAATCTAGGTCTCTCTGTTCTCTGCAGAAATGCAATCAGTCCCTGTGGTTTCTGAGATTTAACATCAATTTCTGCCTTCTGGGCCTGATCTTGAGTGTTAAAGAGAAGAATCAATACAGGGGACCACCAAATCTGTATGTTACCTGTGACCATTCAAGAAAACTTCCCTTCCCTCCCTCCCTCCTTTCCCTTTCTTTTCTTTCTCTTCCCTTCCTTTCCCCTTCCTTCCTTTTCTCCTTTCCTCCCTCCCACCTTCTTATTCTTAATCACTCAGTAGGGACACTGACCAGTCAGACCCTGCTGTAGCACTGGAGGTGCCCCAGGAGGTGCCGGAACAGCCAGGGGGGCAGGGGCACCCAAGGGTGCTTAGGGTGATAGCTATTTACCAGTTGGTACAAAATTAGTTCAATATTTTAACTAGTGTAGTCCTCCCAGAGACCACCACTAGCATGGCTGGCAAAGAGGATCACCATGCTGATAGGACCCAGGACTTTGGGGGCTTCGCTGAGAAGGGAAGCCAGAGCAGCGCCTGGCAAGGCCCCGTCTGCTTACTGCTGAGGGCCATGGTGTCTGTCCCCACCCTGCAACTCACCGGGGGGCCTCTTCCATTGCCTCGATGGGACACCAGGCGGAGACTTCACAGGTCTTCTGGTTCCCTTTGTACAGTACACATCTTCCAGTCTGGATTCCTGTGAGGGTCAAGGGGTCATAGAAGCACCTTGATGTGTGAAAAAACTGTGGGGAGGAAACTCTCCAGGAGGCACGTGATTAACTCAACCCAAGCAAGAGACTATACTTTTCAACCCAAGCAATGTTGGTTTCCGTGAATCCCAATCTGAACCACAAACTTACACAAGGCAAAACAACAAAGCAACACATCAAGCGGTAAGCTTTTATTAAAAAAGCATCACAGAGAACACAGAAAGACCATGGATGCTGTCGGTTCTTTTGGTTTCTTTGCAAGAAAAGATGCCTGAGAGGGGAGATGAACAGGGTGTATTCACTTGCCTGTATAAATGGGCTAGAACTTGGCTTCTAAATGGGTATCTGAGTCCTTCTAAGAGTATACAGTACGTACCAGGGAGGTGCAAAACCATGGAATAAACATGGCACATCTTCCTGGAACATCAGTGTCACTAACAGATTTCCGAGGAGAAAATTAAATAGTAAGTAACATTAAAATGATCTCTGTACCAGCTCAGGCACACGTGTGTTATGGAATAGAATATAACATTCATATGCCTTTTTGTGTATGTGTGTGTTATAACCACTGATGGTTTTTTCTTTTTCGTGGTAGTTTTTTTATTGTCATGTGCCTCTTCAAGTTAAAACACAAGATATGGAAATTCTGCAGGTTAATACGGGTATTGCACCCAGGTGGGAAAGTTTAGAATACTCAAATGAGTATTTTTTATGAATTAGATTTTCGATTACCATTCAATTTTTCTAACAATTAGAACCCTGTAGGTGCTAATTCGAGGTTTTCAGGAGCTACCCTCACTGGGGAATTAGAGTCATATTCATAGCAGCTCTGTGCTCTGAGGCCTAGGGGAGAAACAGGCTGTCTCACAGCCTGGTGATGGTGGAAGAAGGCAGCTGAGAGCCAGAGCTAAAGATCTGAACTTTAGGGCATTGCGAATGTCATTAAGATGCCAGACCATCCATCCCCAGGATTCCAGAAAAAAAACAGAACGTACCTTTGCTCTGCGGGTCCATCCATCCCTTTTTACAACCCCTGTCAGAGGAACAGAGCGTCCTGCGCGTGGGATACTGCAGGGAGGAGGACAGGATAGTGGGGAGTAAGCAATGTATGTCCCTAAGATACCGAAAAGTGGACGTCTATGTCCACACAAAAACCTGCATGTAGATGTTCGCAGCAGCCAAAAAGTGGAAACAGCCCCAATATCCATCAACCGGTGAATGGAGAAGTAGAATGTAGCGCATTTATACAACGGAATTTTATTTGGCCATAAAAAGGAATAAAGTACTGATCCACGCTACAGCACGAACGAATCTTGAAAACATGATGCTATGTGAAAGAAGCTAGACACAAAAGGCCACATATTGTACGATTCCACTTATACGAAATGTCCAGAATAGGCAAATCCATAGAGACAGAAGGTAGATCAGTGGTCGCCAGGGGCTGAGGGAAGGCGGGAATGGGGAGTGACGGCGAATGGCTATGGGGTTTCTCTTAGGGGTGATGAAAATATTCTGGAATTAGATAGTGATGATAGTTGCACAACATTGTGAATATAATAAAAACCACTGAACTGTACACTTTAAAGTGGTGGATTTTATGGTATGTGAATTATATCTCGATAAAAAATAAGAAATAAAAATCTAAAAAGCGGATGTCAGGGCAGCCAGGGACCACTTTCAGGGAGGGCCCGTGGGGTGGTGAGCAGGGGCCCTGCTCTGAGCAGCCCTGTGGCTGCAGAGCTGAGCGAAGCGGACAGGCACAGAGGCTCTGCAGGAAATGTGGAAATAAGGGATGCCAGCCAGTGCTCTCTCCTGGCGGAGAAAACGATGTCAGTCAGGTCTCAGGGCTGAGGACAGAATAAGGAGAAGAGAAACGAGATGACTTGGTTTATGCGTTATTCGACTGCCCGTTTCCCAGGGAGCAGGTTTAACGGCCAGTGCTAGGGAAACCAGAACGTGACATAGATGTGAAAATAGCCTCTGCTCTCTATCTTCCTCTGACCTGTGCCTCCCGCAAGAACTCTTATCACTCATCCAACCACTCCGGGTCCCCTCCTTACCTCAGGACACAACCCCCGCTGTTGGCCTTCTGTCTTGAGAAAGTTTGTCATCACAAAGAACGAGTTCCCCTGCAGAGAAAAAGGAGAGAAGGCAAATGCAAGGCCTTTGAGAAGCTGGAAAGAACTACTTAATCATAATAATGCAGTTTGCTAAGTGCCTGGGGGCGAACCTTCCCACTCTTCTGAGCTTCAGTCTAGAAATCAGGGTCCTGGAGCAACTCGGACCATGCAGGGGGCTTAATATCAAGGCTGGACTAGCCGCCCTGCTGAGCCGAGGGAGAGCAAAGGAACATTCAAACTGATTGAGTATTCATTTCCCATTCCAGCCTCAAAAGCAGCCTTTTCAATTTTTTGGACACAGTAAAATCCCATTGAATTGAAACTCAAGAGACCTGGGGAGGCGAAGGTGGGGGTGTGGGCTTCATCAGAACACTCCTCAGCTTATCCAGGACTTTAATTAAAGGGCAAGAGGGCATCCCACCACCTGGGAAATGGCTGGAGGTTTTAATGACCCACTGCTAGAAACAAACAGATAGCAGCTTGGGTTTTATGGTTTTGCAAAGCTTTCCAGCTTCCAGGGGCTGCAAATGTGCCCTTTTGTCCCTCCCGCCCCCCCATCTGTTCTTGGCTGTTCTCAGTCCCACTTTAATTTCTCCTCTTTGATAATTCTACTTTCAATTTTCCCTTTTGCAACTTTAGACAGCCACGTGCTCTTTCTCTGCGATCCACACCCTTCCTTTCTTTGTCGTCTGTATCCTTCCTTTGTGCAAAAACTTATCCAAGAGTGTTTTCCTAGAGACGTTTTTGTTGATAAAATGCATCACAAACAATATGGAATGGCTGGTCCTTTCTAGGCAGAAAGTTCTTTGCCCTTCTGAATCTAGGCAGACTTGATGGCCCTGCTTCTAAAAAGCTGTGTATAAATCAAATGTGAGTGAATCAAATCGTGTTTTAAATGCACCAGGGCACACTGCTATTTTGAGAAACCCTGTAGGACTTGATAAAGCAAAGAATCATCTCCTTTGAGCTGCTGGATCTGACCCAATTTTGCAATTTTTAGGTTTTCTCAGTTGGGATTTTCACAGAGCTTTTTAAATAGGGCCAATGTTTTTCTGGAGTGAGGCTCTAGGTCCCAGGGGAAGGGGATGAGGCCTGGTAACAGTAACCAGGGGCAAGTCCTGGGAGGATGCTGACAAGTGCTCACCTGCAAGAGGAAGGTGTAATCTGCGGTGTCAAAGACACTCTGCACCACCTTCTTCACTCCGTTCTCGGTGATCTCTTCTCTCACCTCTGCTATTCCTTTCACCTTGGTGTGCACAGAACTGATTAGAGGCTCTTTCCATTGGTACCGCCTGTCACTCACCAGGGCAAAGCTAAATGGCAGACACAAAAAAGTATCAATGGTTTTCTCCAGGGAGGCACAATGCAGTGGTTTTGGATGCAGGGTCCGAAGACTGCCTCGGTTCAAATCCTAGCTTTGCTGGGTGACTTTGGGCAAGTGACTTGCCTTCTCTGCAACTCATTTTGCTTACAGTGGCCTGAACACACTTTTAGAAACATGAATCAAATAGTTTTTAACCAAATCCCTTTTGTTGTTGTAAAAGTGTAAATTTCACAGAAAAGCACAAAGAACATGAAAAGCTTCCAACCTTCTCCCTCCCAGAGCTTAGACTTGAAACTTTGAGAGTAACTTCCAGAGATCTCTCTATGCCCACAGCTGGACACACAAACGTGACCATACTCCACACGCTGCTTTGTAACTTGCTATTTTTACTCAGCAACATGTTATTAATTCTTTCCAGGATAGTAATGATAAATGTATGATAGAGATAGATCTATGATATGTAATCATTTTTAATGGTTACAGAGTATTCTAGTAAAACCTGAACTAGTGTTCAGATTGGACAGATTGGAACATAAGAAATTGCCTGTTTTGTAGTGCAAAACAGTAGGATACTGGCAGTTCCACCTAGGAGGCGAGTTGTGATAATTCACCAGCCAGGCTCTTACTTAACTGGATGGATACTTAACTGGAACTTTTGTTCGGTTTTCTCAATTATAAACATATAAACATAAACATTTTTTTGGTAATTATGATATAGCTCTTACTATGTGCCAAGCACTCTTCTAGGCATATTTTAATAAGATACTAACTCTTTCAATTCTCATCCCCCCCAAAACAACCCTGTAAGGAAGGTACTGGTATTACTCCCACCTTATAGCTGAGCAAACTGTGCCATAGATGAAGTGAGCCTATGTTCACAGAGTGCTATAGATTGAATGTTTGTGACCCCCCCAAAATTCATATGCTGAAACCTAACCCCCAGTATGATGGTGTTTGGAGGTGGGGCCTTTGGGAGGGAATTGGGTCATGAGGGTGGAGCCTCATGAATGGATTAATGCCCTTATAAAAAAGACCCAGAAACCCCTCACCCCTTCCGCCATGTGAGGACACAGCAAAGAGATGGCCATCTAGGAACCAGGAAGCGGGTTCTCGCCAGACACCGAATCTGCCAGCACCTTCATCTTGGACTTCCCAGCCTCCAGAACTGTGAGAAATAAATGTGTGTTGTTTATAAGCCACTCAGTCTGTGGTATTTTGTTGCAGCAGCCCAGACAGGCTAAGGCACATAGTAAGCAGCAACACTGGCCCCACAGCTTATGTTCTTATGGATGCTTCTGTAAATGGAGTTGTTTTCTGAATTTCTTCTTTAGATTGCTCATTGCTGGTATATAGAAACACAACTGATTTTTGTGTGTTGATCTTGTACCTTGAAACTTGACTGAATTGGTTCATTAACTTTAACAGTTTTTTGGGAGTTCTTTGGGTTTCTCCATATATAGGATCATATCATCTGAGTATAAAGATAGTTTTACTTCTTCTTTTCCAATTTGGATGCCTTTTATTTCTTTTGCTTGCCTAAATGCTCTTGCTAGAAGTTCTAGTACAATGTTGAATAGCAGTGGTGAAAACAGGCATCCTTGTCTTATTCCTGATCTTCGGGGGGAAGCATTCAGTCTTCCTCCTTGAGGCTCAGTTTATTCTCTTAAGCACTATACTTCATTTCCTCTCTACCCTCCTGTTCCCTGTGGTCAGGCATGTACTTGCACAAGAATCTTTTCACATCTAAGGTGTTAAATCCTTAAGATAAATTTCTGGGTCAAAGGATGTACACATTTTATATCTCAATTTATTTTTCCAAACCACAAAAGGGTGAACCATTTCACACTTCCACCAGCAAAGCAAGAGTGCATACACCACCTTTTAAGAGGGCCTTGACAAACAAGAGTGTGGTTGTACGGGCTTGGCTGAGATAGCAAAGGGTCTGGACACCGTGTTGGGGGCACACAGCTGGAGGGATCAGAGCTCTTATTTTTGAAGAGGAGAAATACAATAGCAGGGTATAGCCATTTGAAGAGTGTCAAATAGAAAAGAGACCACAGAGCAGAACTCTAACCAAAGGGGAAAATTATGGGGAGATAGATTTTGGCTCAATGTAAGGAGGAAATGTCTAACAGAACAGGCTTTCCTGTGGTTGCTAGTTAGTGACAGTGATGATGATGATGATGATAATTTCCATTTATCTCCTCATCTCTCGCTCTCTGGTCTCCTCTCCATCTGCATTTTAACATCATTTCCCAACTTAAAAATAAACCCTCTCTGAACCCCACATTCTTCTACCACGACTTGCTGCCTCTCTTCTCTTCTCTTCTTGTAAATGTTACCCTATCTGGGAAAAGGGTCTCTGCAGAAAGGAACCAAGTCCTTTGAAAGAGTGAGTCACCACATTCATTTCCACATCTCCATTCACTCCTCTGCCCACTCCAGTCTGGCTCCCGCCCCCACCACTTCTCTAAAGCTTCTCTTGCCAAGTAAACAACAACGTCATCATCACTAAATGCAATAGACACGTCACAGACCTATCTTCCTGGAACTCTCAGCAGCGTTTGACGCCAATGACCATGCACCCCCTCCCTCCCTTTTTTCCTTTAGCTTCCTGGAATCCACATTCTCCTGACTTTCTTTGGATCTCCACGACCATCCCTTCTGATAATCTTTCGGGGGCTTCTGTGCTTCCCATCACTTAAAGGTTAGCATTCCTCAGGGTTTGTTCAAAGCCCTCTTGCCTTCTCATCTACATCGTCTCTTGCTGGTCAGTTGCAGCTACTTCCACGGTGCTAGTTACCATCTATATGCTGGTGATATGTAAATCTATTTCTCCAGCTCCAGATTCATATATCCAACTACCCACTAAGCATCTACATTCGTGTGTCCCGTAGACATCTCAAACTCAATGCCTTCAGTTCTAAACTCATCTTCCACCCCAAATGGGCTTTTTCTCCCACATTTCCTATCCCAGTAAGTTCCTCCTCCTTGCCCAAGCCAGAGACATCGCGCACTCCTTAACTCATCCTTTCCTTCATTTCCTCTCATCCATTCAATTGTCAAATCCTATTGTTTTATCTTCCTAAATTCAAATCCATCTACTTGTATACCACTGTCACTTTCTCAGTCCAGGTCACCATCAACTCTCACCTGGAGTACCCCATAGCTGCCTAAATGGTCTCTCTCCCTCCATTTGCACTCCTGTCTCCTCCATTCTCTATGTTACTTTAGTCAGAGCTTGGACTCTAGAGCGAGACGCTTGGGTTCAGTGTTACCACTACCGCTCTACCACTTACTAGGTGCGTGGCCTTTTGTAAGTCATTTAACCTTACTGAGTCATCACTTCTTCTATAATAAGGTGATGTTACTATTATGTTGGGCAGGATTTCTAATTCTAAATAACAGAATCCACTCTGCTGAGTTTAAGAAGAAAGATTGTCTGAAAAAAGCAAATCTGTAGAGGCAGAGAGTAGATTAGTGGTTGTTTGGGTCTGGGGGGTAGGAATGAGGAGTGACTGCAAATGGGAATCAGGGATCTTATTGGGGTGATGAAATGCTCTAAAACTGGATTATGGTGATGGTTGCACAACTCAGCAGATTTACTAAAAATCATTGAAGTGTATGCTTAAAATGGATGATTTTATGCTAGACAAATTATATCTCAATAAAATTATTTAAAAAATAAAGGAAGAAAGAGATTTTTAAAGGATGTTAGGCCATTCATACAGTCTCCTGGAGGACCAAAAACCAGGCTAACTTAGACACTACATAGCTAGGAACAACCTCCAGGGAACAGAGAAAACACCGCCAGCCATTGCTGAGCTCTAAAGTGGGAAGTCACAAACACGGGGCAGCCTCTGTCAATCACATTCTGCCCCGTGGCAGGCAGACTTCTAAGATGACTGCAATATTTCCTGTATCTTGGTAGTCACATCTTGCCTAATCCCCCACACTTTGAGTATGATGGATATACTTTCAACATTAGGTTACATTATACAGTTGACCTTAAGACAGGAAGATCATCTGGGCGGGCCTGACCCAATCACATGAGCTGTTTAAGAGCAGAGAGTTTTCTTTGGCTGATCCCAGAAGTTAGAGATTTGAAGCATGAGAACAATTCATTGTGTCATTGCTGGCTTGAAGAGGGAAAGGGCATGGCAAAAAATGCAGGTGGCCCCTAGGATCTGAGAGCAGCCCCTGACTTACAAGCAGCAAGGAAACAGACCTCTCAGTCCTATAATTGTCAGGAATTGAATTCTGCCAACAACAAGAATGATCTTGGAAGTGAATTTTTCCCCAGAGTCCCAAGGTTAGAACTCAGTCCAGCCAACACTTTGATTTCAACCTTGTGAGACCCCGAGCAGAGAACCCAGGCACACCATGCCCAAACTGCTGACCTAGAGAACTGTGAGCTAATAAGTGGGTGTTGTTTTGTGCCACTAAGTTTGTAGTAATTTGTTACACAGCACTGGAAAACTAATACAGCCCTTTCCTCCATGGGGAAGCTCACAGCCAGCAGAGGGCCAGAGCAGGGTCTCTAAAGCATGGGGTCCAGGGAAGGGGTCCCTATTGTGTGGGTCAAGGATGGTACTGCCTCCAAGCATTCCTAAAGATGAATTCTGCTCATGCCCACGACCCCATGTCATTCCCTGTATACCAAAGTGTTGCACAGCACATGTGTTCGAAAAGCTTGGGTCTCATGCGTATGTCCTAGCTGCAAGGGAGGCTGGGAAATTAAGTTGTGACATGTAGTCGAGAGGTGGAGCCCATAACATGGGAATTTCCCCATAGTTATGCTGTTCAAATCATGACTACCCACCATGAGAACCAATCTTGTAGGATTATTTATGATGATCAAACAGGCTAATACATGTCACAAGCTAAAAACAGAACCTGACCCATGCTAAGTACTCAGTAGGTGTTACCATATTGAAAACAGAAAGCTCTCTCTAAAACAAAAATATGAGCATAAAACCCTTAATGTTT